GACCCTGGCATGAAGTTGAGCAGTGTAGTGCAGTGGCTAAGTGCTTCAACCCTGGCATGAAGTTGCTGAGCTGTGACTAACAGGACTGCCATCTACTTGCTATGTCATCTCTCTGTGCCTCAGTTTCCTCACTGATGACACAGGGATGTAGGGATGTGTCTCTGAAAACCATTGTGAGGATTCAGGGAATTAGTATTTGTAAAGTTTTAGAATCATCCTTGGAACATTTCAGTAACATTTTACTTTATTATTTTGACAATGAATACAAGATTAGTCCAGTGTGATGCCCATGGCATGAAGACCAAGATTTCATGGCAAAATGTAATGATGTAATGTATGGTGATTAACATAACAACAAAAAAATTTAAAGAAAAAAATGTGTGTTGCTGTTAAAAAGTAAACATCTCAGTCCTGAAAACATGATCCAGGTCATTCTACACTTGATCTTAGCCAAAAGGCTGAGAAGCGATGATCCAGGTCATTCTTGCTGATTTAAGCTGCTTAGTTATTCCTTCACTAGGATGTGAAATTTTTCTTTCTCAGGCATATGCCTGTGCTTACCTTCTGGCTAATGTTCTGGCTAGTATATCCTTCCACAGAGCTTTAAGGAAACCGATATGCCAGCATCCAGACTTGGAGAATAAATAAATTAGGGAATAATTTGGCTTTCTAAAAGGACTATCTACTTTACCAAAGGTGGATGATGAGGAAGATAGTCACAAACAAAACACTGAAGTATTAAATAATTGATCCACACCCAGATGGAAAAAATATTGCTTACCTAATTTTGATTATGTCGATTCAAGCCAGTTCATTTTACAAAATTACAGGGAACAACTGTTGAATGGCCAGTTCACCCTAAACAGCAGATCTGGTTTGGGGACAACAGAATAAGCCATCCCCCTCTCTCTCTCTCTCTCTCTCTCTCTCTCTCTCTCTATATATATATATATATATATATATATATATATAATTGCAATTCTTCTTTCTGCTGTTCTGGCCACTGATCTCCTCTCTGTATATATAATCCTAAATATAAGTACAATATATATTTTTAATATGGACAATTAATAGCCTCTCAGTCCTGTGTTAAGTGTGATGTAAAGTGTTTTTAGAAAACTTGACTATTTTTTTTAATTTGTAATATGCAGTCTTTATTAAGTCTGCTTGCTATGCAAACACAGGTTGAAAATATTCCCCTGGCTCTCTTCTCTAGCCTCATCACTGTTCCTAAATTTCTTATGTCTAGAAATTTTAGAGTTGTTCTGCTTATAATTTTGTTCTGTTGAGATGTTAAAATACCTTTGGGGATGTTTTTGACCATATACCTTTTCATACTTATATGTTTATTTAGTTTTTCATCTTTTTAATTTAAAGATAACACTTTATCACACTAAGTGCTTTTACCTTGGATGTGATTTTATGTGATATTATTGCTTTTTTTTTTCTTATTCGTTATTTTTTTTTTGATCCTCACTTATCTCTGTATTCTTAATATATTTATTTGGGTATCATATAAACTGCATAGAGTTGAATATTGATTTGACCAATATGATAATCTTTGTCTTGTGATAGTAGAGTTTACTCCTATTTAAATTTGTTGATATAATTGATATATTTGGTTTTATATCTTTCAACTTTTAAATTTCCATTTGCAGACTCCATCATTTTATAAAAAGCAGAACAGGACCTTAGCATTACGTCTCCTACTGATAAGAGTGGTTCTCGCTCTCTTTTTCTTCCAGGTATTTTATCTTTTAATAAATCAAAATATATTTTAAGTTTTATATAGTTAGACTATAGAGTAAGGTTATATGAATTGGTGAAAATCCAGACAGAGAAATTGATGAATCATCCAGATACATGAGAACAGTGCATTCCTGAAAGCTAACCCTTAATCCAAAGAGAATTTACACTTACCTATGCCTTCTGTAGTTTATCATTTTTCCACCCTGGCAAAAGAATACAGTTTTAATTTTGAGGCATTTACAGCTTCTAAAATGTATTTTCCTTGGTTGTCAAGTTGATGATGGGAAAAGAGGTGCATTTCTGTTTTTAAATTCACAGTAGAAAGTCCCTCCAGTTATTTTGTTAAAGTAATAATATCATCTCCTTCTAACCTTTGAAGTGTCCACTATTTTAAACCAAAGCCTTTAAAATTCTTAAGACATGTAATTGACAGATTATGCACACATACACAAACACTTCTTGTCCTCTGATGAAAAGAGGATGTGTACTATTATACCTGGGATTTTTTTTTTCTTGGTACTAGCAAATGGCCTAATGACCTGATGTAGGCTTAATTCACATAATGATCTACCATCCATGACCCGACAGGTGTTTTAAAATGAGCCCATAGAGCACTATGGACCTCTCTGTTCCTCTTAGAACACTCAATGTAGTTCTCCCAAAATTCTGTGCAGAGGGTAATTACCTTTGCTTACCTGTGACCCAGGCACTTCCAGAACACTTGTAATTTTCCCCTAATTGAAGGTTTAACAATCCCAAACTCTTAGCACCTATAATAATGTTCTTCTCAATAGTTTGCTTCTACATGTTGTAATTATATATACACTTAAGTACATATTAAGAATATATATATATATATATATATTCAGAATATATATTCAGAAAGATGAGTTGCTTTCAGTTTGGTTACACATATACTAATAAAATTCTAAGCTCATAAAATAGAAGTTAGCACAAGTGCTCAGGAAGGCATTCCTATGGAGAGCTAAGATAACATATGGTGAATATTGATTCAGTCAACATGGATTGTCTAAGCATATACTGTCTGCTCAGCACTGTACTAGCACCATGGAGATATAAAAAATTAAAAAAATTGATTTTCTTTCAAATTTGTCAATGGAAAATATTGATGCAAACAAGTCTTTATGAGTGAACATACAAAACTTTTGTTGAAAAGATTCTATGTTTATGGTGTAGTTATGATTTCGTCACAGAATTCATTACATAAGAATGCACAGGGCACCTTCACCTATGTAGAAGGCTGTGTGGAGGGGATCTTTTCTGAAGGAATACTCATTCTTGAGGTCACTTAACTAGAAACAAACTACGTTTCTCAACCAGAAAGCAAGGACTTTAAGGAAGAGCTCTTATTATGTTAAGTGTGGGAATCTTAGTTTCTTTATCTGAGCCATGGTGTTATCATCATGCCTAAAATAGAGTTTTTACAGGGTGTTTATTCTGATAGTTAAAATATCTAGAGCGGTGGTTATAGGATAGATTCAAGTTATAGGATAGATAACAGCATTTTGTCTATCAACCTCTTATCAACCAACTATCAAAAAGTATTAAAATCTCGTATTAGGGTTTGGTAGAGTCTTTGAAATATTCCACTGTGCTTCAGCAATGTAAAGGGAAGCCAGGGGAGGGTTTTGTTTGGTTTTCTTTTTGTTTATATTGGAACTACAGGGGACAAAAAATAAAAAATGTAAAAAAGCACTCTAGAACCGGGATAGAATTGAAGTAAGAACATCAAGGGTCAGGCTTTCCTCATTTTGTGGAGATTTTCTTCCAGCAATAAAAGCTTGAGATTTAGGAATTAAATTTTCTTAATTAGATACACACACACACACACACACACACACACACACTCATAAACACAGGTTAGGGAATACAACAAAAATGGGTCTGGTCCTCCCAGCTTACAATTTATTGTGAGAAATAAACAGTAAATAAATAAGTCAACAGATATTTAATTATAAATTGAAATGAACGCTGTAAAGGAAAAGGTCACAGTAATGCAAATCAGCCTAATTTATTTTAAGGGATCAAGGAATTCTCAGAGAAAATGACATTTCAGCGGAGCCTTGGCAGATGAGTAGGATTTTAACCAGGCAGAGAATAGAGGAAGGAATGTTCCTGGAAGAGGAGACAACCAGGATGAAGGCTTTGAGGTGGAAAAGATGCAGTGCATTTGAACAGCTGAAGAAAATCTGAGCAGCCAGGGAGTAGCCTAGGAAGAGCTACTAGGAAGAAGAGCTGCCTGAGAAAGGGTTAGGCAGATAGGCAGCTGTGTTAGTCTCCTGTGGAATCCATGAGAAAGTACCACAAACTGGGTGGCTTAAAACAATAAATATTTATTCTTTCCCATGTCTGGAAGCAGGAAGCCTGAAATAGTGTTGTCAGGGCCATACTCTCTCTCCTAGCTTTGGGTGGTTGCTGGCAATCCTTGGCTTTCCTTGACTTGCAGCTGCATGATGCCAATCTCTGCCTCCATTTTCCCTCTCCCTGTCTGTGTCTTCACGTGGCGCTGTGTGTGTGTGTGTGTGTGTGTGTGTGTGTGTCTTCTCTTCTTATAAGGACACCAGTCCTGTTGGAGGAAGGGCCTACCCTGTTCCAATATGACCTCAGCTGAATTTACCTCTTTTTTTTTCTTTAAATTTTTTTATTGTTATGTTAATCACCATACATTACATCATTAGTTTGTGATGTAGTGTTCCATGATTCATTGTTTGCATATAACACCCAGTGCTCCACGCAGAACGTGCCCTCTTTAATACCCATCACCAGGCTAACCCATCCCCCCACCCCCCTCCCCTCTAGAACCCTCAGTTTGTTTTTCAGAGTCCATCGTCTCTCATGGTTTGTCTCCCCCTCTGATTTCCCCCCTTCATTCTTCCCCTGCTGAATTTACCTCTTAATTACATTGGCAGAGATCCTGTTTCCAAATAAGATCACATTCACAGGTACCGGGGGTTGGTGCTTCCATATATCATTTTGGGAACACAATTTAACCCACAGTAACAGTCTACAAACTATGCTGAGGAGTTGTTCTTACATTCAATGGGAAGCCATTAGAATGATTCAAGCAAAGGACTAGCATGATCGATTTATTTTATACTATATAATGCCATTTATATGACATTTAAGAAAGGTCCAAAACTGAAGAGGCAAAAATCAGTCCAGTAGTTGCCAGGGGTTAAGGGTCGGGTAAGGGGATCAACTACAGAAGGACACTAGATAATTTGGAGAATGGATGGAAATATTCATATCTTGATATGAGCTTGTCAACATTTATAGATGTGTGCACTTGAAAAGGGAAAATTGTACTGTATGTAAACAATACCTCAGCATCAATGAGAGCAGACTCGGAGGGGCCCTGGTTTGGTAGTCTAGTTGAGAGGGGGTTATTGCTTAGATGAGGATGGCGGTTCACTCTTAGTACTCTACTTCACTGACATGCAGAGCCTGCCTGTGGAATCAGGTATTAATTTGTCAGCTGCTTCCCATTGTGGCAGCTTTGCTGAAAAGAGCTTTTGGTCACAAGAAAGGTGAAGAGAGAGGGTCAGAACCCGGGGCGCCTGCCAGAGAAGGGCCTGTGAGGAGGTCAGGGGGCCTTGGTGTCAACAGAAGAGAAGATAGGAATTGCACTGCTTTCCCAAGGGTTGTTACTGCCCAGAATAATTAAAAGGAAAGAAAACGAAGGTGCCGAAGAAGGAACGTA